AAAAGAGCCCCAACGAGGCCTTTCAGGCTTGGTGTTGGCTTCTTGGCTCTTTCTTTTGCAGTGTTCTTTAACACGCCTGTGTGCTGGCTTGGATTCCAGAGCCAGGACAAGAGGGAGTGCCATTGAAACTCAGATGGTGAAAAATAATGGGCTTTTTGGAATATTTAAATGGCTCTTATTATAATATAAGTTCTTATAAATATTCTCCACAAGTTCCCTGCAGTTACCTTGAGGTGCCTGAAACTTAGAAATCTGTTTGTTCTTGTCTATACACAATATTCCCTGGCATGTTTTAGTAGATGTCAACTGCAACATAGCATGGCTTGCACTCTGCTTTTGATTTTTGGGTTAATTATCTGAAGTTTTGCCTCACTTGAACCTTCCTGGAAGGAATGTATAATTCTACAGACTAGAATTGATATATCTACTAAAAAGGATTATTAGAATGGTTTTGACTTGGAATCTGGAATTTTCAGAGCTTTGATGACTGGGCATTTTATACTAAGGGAAATATGTTCAAGTACCTGAAGGAAATAAATCTTGGACTTCCCAAGAAAGTGCTTTCTGGGGTAATAATATAAGTAGGCTTGATGGAAATGGTTTAACTCCTCCACAGAGAAAGGAAAAAATCCTGCCTGGATTTCTTTCTGCTTTCTGGATGGTTGTAGGGGAAGTGAGTGTGACAGTTTTTCTTCTGATTTTCAGGGAAACATTATCTGAAAGAATTAAAAATTTTCCTTTTCATCCTGAAGTAAATGATTCTATCTAAACAAATTGTTGGGATTTAGAGATTGTGAGATATGCTTTTGATTTGGTGCAAATGCCTTTATTTTAGGGATCTATATGCCCAACACCGGTACTTCAGGGTACAGAACAGATGGGAGGGGTGTGTGCACAGCTTTTATCAAAACAAAGAAAATGTTTTTAGTGAGGAGATTGTTGAAATCCTTTTCAGATTTTTATCTTTTTATATGCTAGGGACAGCAAAGTCTGGCTAGTCCTGCTGGAAAATAATTTTTCCTCCGTCTGCCCCCTCTGCTGGTATCTCTGTTCTAACGTTGAAAAATACACCCTCCAAAACTGCAGAGGGGCAGGGATGAAGGAGAAAAGGGAGCCCAAAGAGGAGAGGGCGCTCAACTTCCAGCCACTGGTGCTGCCTTCTATCACCTTACACCGCTCTTACACCCCTACTAGTGCCCCGCTGGGGTTTTTCTAACAGAGGATGAGGCTGTGGCTGCAGCCCCAGACAGCCCCAGGCCCTCTGGGTCTGCCTGGAGGGTCGGGCCCACTTTCCACACAACCCCACGTCCACCCTGCTCCTGAGATGAGCTGGTGGGGCTGCACTTGGGCAACTCTAAAAACACTGGGCCAACAGGGGCAAAAGCTTGTTCCTTCCTTATTTAGCCAAAATGAACCCAAGAATCCCCTCTTTCTGCTAACGACTTTGTTAATTCTATTAGCACAATAAAACCAGAGGCCTAGAGCTGTTACTTGGGGTTTTATTTTAAGCACATTTTGGCACTTCCCTAGTTTAAAGTCTCTGCAGCCTGGGGAGCTGACATGTCTCCTATGAACCTGAGTGAGGCACCTTAACCCTAACAGCCTGGTGAAAAAAAAAATCATGATTTCCATTCCCCATCTGTGTTCTGCAAAGAGCTTTGGGATGCCCCAGGGCTCTGCTCCCTACTCCCCTGGCGCTCTGTCCCAGTCCAGATGCCCAGGCTGAAATCAAGATACGATGCAAACGGGATTCGTATAAAGAAAATAACTTTTATTAGACAAATCGATCAAACCCTGAAAAAACAGCGTCAGGTAAACATTACTAAAGGTTTTTCCAGCAATGCAGAAACCTTTGAAACTGAGAAATTCAGGAAGTTTCATGTTCCTCCAGGTGCATTAGTAAATTCTCTCCCTTCCGTGATAGGAGCGATCGCTGTCTTGACAGCCCCAAAATCTTACATTAACTCAGCAATTATTTTAAAACAATAACTTCCAAACTCTTCCCTGTGCAACTGTTTCCCACACAATTTGGTACAAAGGGGTCAAACCATGTTCTCTTTGTTGTCTAAAAAAAAAAAAACCAACATGGTTTTTTCATCCAGCTTCTTAGAAACAAAGAATGTAGAGTCCAGGTGTCCCCATGGACTGGATGCTGAGGGCACCTCAGGCTGGTGTGAGGTCTGACGCCCCAGACTGCAGCTCCTGACCTCAGCAGCAAGAGGGGGACACTGCAGCTGAACAAGACCCTGCTCCACCATCTCGGGTGCCACCGCCATCCAAGGCTCCTCCACCAAGCCATGATGGTGGGACCCAAGCGCCCAGTGAGGGGCTGGGTCAGAGGAGAAGGAAGCAGCCAGTCCCCCTCGCCCAAAAACTCACGGGGGTGGCACAGCCTGGGCACAGGGACAAGGCACATGGAGTTTGAGCTTGGCCCCTCACACCCTGTGCGACCAGAACCTGACCCCTTGGGGACAGAGAGACCTGCCCCAGGTGAGCAGCTTCCATTGGAGCCAGGAATCCTGCCAGGCAGCTCCGTCCCCCTTCCCGGGCTGCTGTGGACTCCCCGCCCCACCTCAGCCTTCCCGGGGGACTCAGCTCCAGAGGGTTAGTGCGGGAGCAGCAGAGGGAGAGGGGACGAGCTGGAGGGGGGTTAGGACAGAGATGAGCTCAGCACTGAGGCACCGGAGGAACCGTCTGCGGGCACAATCTGCCCTAACAGTGGAACTGCTTTTATTAAAACAGAAGTGTTAAGCCAGGAAAATAAATTATTGCTACGATAGACATATTTAGAACATAAGGAAGGACGTTAAATCTCGAGCTCCAGGTCAATATAGCCCTGAAACAAAAAGTTACACTACTTCTCTTAAATATCTCGGGTTCTCTTCATGCCCTTCCAAAAACTTTATAAAATGTGCAGCTTAGAGAACAAATAGTAACAGAGTCACTCATAACAAAAATCTGTACAGCTTATAGCTTTAAAAATAATACTTTTTTTTTTTTTTCTTTTTTTTCCCCCTCAAACTGCTATGTTACTTATTACTCATAAATACAGGGCTGACAAGTTTTGGGTGCCCAAGGTCCCATCCAACACCAAAGTGACTGGGGTAGTTTTGACACTCGCTGTGACTCCCCTCAGCCAGAGGTTGGGTTTGAAAGAGCCTGAATTCACATGTGGAAAAAAAACAAAACAAAACAACCACCCAAAATGAATCTCTTTGTGGGTGAAGACTGTCTCCTTCTGCTGGTCAGAGGCCTGGGGTCTTCTGCGGGTTTGAAATGGCACTCAGACCTGGAACACAGCACCGGGCAATGGGTTAGGCTAGCTGCACCCCTGGGGTGGGACAGGGCCCCACAGGCCCCTCTGTCCTGGCCTGTGGTGGTTTTGTCAAATGCTGAAAACCCACCGTTTGTGGGAGCTGCATTTTGGTGGGGAAGGAGCATTTCCCCACCCAGAGCCTGGCAGGAGGAGTGTGGCTCTTCCCCCCTTGGAAGCCTGGTCCATGACACCCTGGAAGGGCACTAGGTCTTTGATTTTAACCTTTGGGTTGGGCTGAGCTGAGCTCCTGCACCTGCAGATCATGAGTTAGGGGCTCCTGCTTGTGACACCCCCCCCAGTGCCAGACCTGTGATCCACCTGCACCCCAATCCTGCCCCTCTCACGCTCACACCCTCTGCTCCCCACAGAACCAGGGAGCTCAGCCCTAGGACAAAGCGGGAAAAGTGGAGGCAGAAGGTGTGATGTGACTGTCCAAGTGCTGCCACCCTCTTGCAGACTGCTGGCCTGGCCCAGGGCCCACCCCTCCTCACATCAACAGCCATATCCTCGCAGACAAGGCAGCCCCCAGAAACCAGGAGCAACATCTGGCAGGTCCCTCAGGGTATCCCGACCATAACCCAGCAGGTTCTTCTGCCTGGTCATGAGCAGTTTCCTTTGGAAGTTCAAAGGGAACTGTGGGATAAATCCAGCTCGGGGAATACTGCGGGTTCCCCAAGGCGGTCCAGAGGGAGTAACGAAGAGCAGGATTTTGGCAAATGGCCACAAGGAGCAGATTAGTGGTTAGAGAGCTGGGCAGTGCTCAGAGGGAAGCAGCTCATCTGGACGCTGATGACTTGGGGCTGCTCAGGCCTCTGCTACCTGAAAGGGGCTTTGCTTCTACTTCTTCAAGCAGAAGCTCGTTTAAGGTACAGCTCTACTGAGCCATCCCTGTGGGAGCTGGTCTCCTCTAGCCAGATCAGTCAGAGCCTCTGAGACCAGTCAGGAATGTGTGTGGAGAACTTCTCATCAGGAAGAGGAGAGTGAGGTTCTCCTGACTCAGAGCTAGTGCCAAACCTGAGCAAACTCACTCAGAGCTGCTGGGAAATCCCTTCTGGGGCTACTTACAACAACTCCACTTCCTTAGGCGGTAAACGCGTGCAGAGGGGCTCACACTATTGTCGAGGGACTTATGGTGACCTGGCCTGCCTTCTGCAGAGGAGAGAAGCCAGCATTAGTACAGGATTAGAGGACACGGCATCAGGATGTGTTCCAGTGGGAAAGGAAGTGGCTGGGAACTCTGAGGAGTCGGACAGGAGATGGGCTGACATCTCAGAGGGACAGGCTCCCACTCCTCTAGCTCACCTCTCTCCAGAAAAGGCCCAAACCTCCCAGAAAAGGAGCTTAGCAGTATCTGCAGCAGAGCTCCATCCATCTCAGAAGGTTACTTGTCCTCCTCAGCCCCT